GGTCACATGAGCTTTTCTTTTCCTTCCCATGAATCATGACCCACTCTTCATATGGTATGGCATACTTATTTGACATTCCCAATGGCCATGACCACAGCCACCACACATGAAACACCGCCGAGTAGCCCATTGCAATATTGCTCCATTTGTAAGGATAATTTCCAGATTTCTGAGGTGTCTTTTAGAGACCATATCTCACAAACCGGAGTTTGGAATTAGGTAATTCCAACTTTCAAAGCTAGATATTGACCTCCATAAAGACATATCAAAAATTTAGAGCCATTAACGAACGTTTGCTACCTCTTTGGAGACAAGTTCAGCAAGGTAGATATAATTCATCCAGGATTGTGTTATCAACTTTGGGATGGCGTATCTCACTAACCAAAACTCGGAATTGAGTGAAATCAGCGGCCACGCGTAGAGAAAAGGTCAAACTTTCAAACTGGAAAGTTTCACTTCAAAATCTGGTGCGTAGCTTCCTCCGTGCTCAATTATTTGGAGCTGAAAGTTTCTGGAAAAAAATTTCAGCAACCTTCTATCGGGTACGTTTGCGAAGTCGGTCCACGAGGTGATCGTCGAGACTTAAGGAAGTCTTCGAATATAGCTCTGATACCAAATGTTGTACCCGAGACCCAGGGTCTTATCGAGTAGCTATTTTGTGGCGGATTTGCGGAAGGAAATGGATGATGGAATTGAAGGGATGAAATATGGAGTGTGGAAAAGAGTTCTTTTTGGTGTTTTAATGAGGGAAAAGAATAAGTTTAGGGAGAAGAAATGGTGAGGAATGAAATGGGCAGAAATAAAGTGAAGGGATAAACCACGTTGGTGTTAAGAGATATGACACACTCTTATCTTAACTTGTGGCTTTTATCTTCTTTTACACATTAATAACCACTACTAATGTATAAAATTAGACTCCTAACACGCACTTAAAAGTAGCCAACTTTAGAGATATTTCATTAGGAAATTTGGTTAAAATAGCATCACAATATTTTAAAGAATTACTCATAGAGTAAAACAAAGGCTTTTAATTCAATAATCTGGTTGTGCTACAATGGCCTCATGGCTGAAGTATTTATACAACACCAAATAAGGAAAAATACAAGAACAATGAAGGAAGAATACAACAAGGAAGTTTCCTACTTCTTTCCTACAAATCAATGCTTAATGCCCATCCATGTGAGTTGATTTTCCATGATGCTTCTCCTGATTTTGAGCTGATCTTCTTTGGGTTTATTTGGGTATAAATTTGGTGCATATAAGGAAGAAAACAAATGGGAATCAAGCTTTAGACTTTTGTGAATAAAATGCCAAAACAGCACTATTCATTCAATGACTTTGTTTCTGATTTTTGTTCCTTTGTCGTAAGTGGTGATTTGGTTGGATTTTAGGAACAAAAAGGGGCTGGAATTTCGTGGGGAAGGTGTAGGAAAAAATAAGGGGAAGATCTTATTTAATGAAATGAACAAAAAGAGTAGAAAATAACACACAAGGTTTGTCTTTTTGATCCTCATTTTCATCCAGGGTTAAAAAGGAGGGTAAAGACTTTATTTTGATTATCACATGAAGATAAATGACTTTTGGATATTTTGGGAGAGGTTGGGATTTTAGTGGAGCTGTCTAGGGGTACATCAGATTCCTTATTTAAATACTAGAGTTTAACCCGAGTGAAGATAAGTGTGTGTGATTCCTCTTATATTCACTTGATAAATGCTTCTTTCCCTCTCCCTTGTTTTCTCCTAAATTCAGTCTCCCGTATATTTCTACACCTTCTCTTCTTCTTTCTCTTCTGAAATTGATATCCTAGACCACCCCGGGTCTCGGGTACAACACAGATGTTTAAAGTGAGGTTATAATCGATTTTACCAAGTGGATAATCGATTATAGGGCAGTTTCAGGGAACGAAAAGGAGGCATTTTAGTAAAGGGAGATAAACCAAGGAGGTCTAAGAGATATAACACACTCTTATCCTTTCTTGGGGTTGAAATCTAGACTTCAATTAAGATATAACACACTTAATGAAATTCTAGAACCTAACACTCACACTTAAGGAAACCAACCTTAAGATATAGAAATTAGGAATTTTAAAACAACACAACAAGTTGTATTATCTTGAAAATGGGATTACAAAAGATGGGATACAAATGAGGCCCTTGGCCGATTTTAATACAAGCTCAAAAGAGGAAAGAACTAAGCAACTTCCTTAAACAAATATCTAGAATATTATCCAAATAATCAAATCATCTTATGGAATGAAAATCAAGTGTGATAGGTTTCTTGGGTTTGATATTTTCGGCCCTATTGGAAGACAAAAGGAAATGTGAGAATATTATGATTTAGAATGAATAAAATAAAAGGGATTTGGGATGAGATGGGTTCGTCCATATTATGGGAC